CTTGATATGCTTCTTACGGAGCCACTCCTTGGTTATCCTGGCTGTGTGCTTCGGGTCGTTGTCATGTTGGAAGACCCAGCCACGACCCATCTTCAATGCTCTGACTGAGGGAAGGAGGTTGTTGCTCAAAATCTCACAATAAATGGCCCCATTCATCCTCTCCTCAATACGGTGCAGTCGTCCTGTCCCCTTTGCAGAAAAGCACCCCCAAAGCATGATGTTACCACCCCCATGCTTCACAGTAGGGATGGTGTTCTTGGGGTGCAACTCATCCCCCTTTTTCCTTCAAACACGACGAGTGAAGTTTAGACCAAAAAGTTCTACTTTGGTCTCATCTGACCACATGACTTTCTCCCATGCCTCCTCTGCATCATCCAGATGGTCTTTGGCAAACTTCAGACGGGCCTGGACACTTAATGTTATGGTTTTGCAGACTTGTGTCCTGTTTTGTGCTTTTATTTTGGTTTGATTTCCTGGTCCTTTGTCACCTCACTTGCCCCATCTTTGCTCTGGTCTACAATCTCATTGTTCACCTGTCCCTCATTATCCTCTGGTCTCCTGTGTATATATTCTCCCCCTTTTCCTCAGCCTCTTGCTGGTTCATCCTGCTTGCTACGTCCATTCACCACACCCCGCCTGTTTGCGTGCTCCTTTAAGTTGTTATGTCTGTTCCTTTGTTTTTTGGATTCTTGTCTGTCAGTAGGTACTTGGTTGGTTTCTCTGGTTTGGTTTTAGGTCTTTTACCTTGCTCCCTGGCCAACCTGTTTAGTTTAGCTTCGGTGTTTTTTGTTTTTCCCTGTCAGGTTCAGCCTTTGTATTTTTTCCCTTTAGTTTCTTGTCCACTGTTATTAAATTTCTGCTAGAACAATTTTCCAGCTTGAGTCTGCATATTTGGGTCCTTCCATGCCGTAAGACATAACACTTGTGTTATGGCTATGTCTGTATTCAACCTGCTCGCACTAGTGGGGGTTGCATTGCTTTATGACTTTCTTACTAGAAGTTATCATGATGCCATAGTTGGATAAATTTGCTATAACCAGTAAACAATGCAGATGTTTCCCTCAGACTAACTGGAACAGATTCTTGCATTACTGCTAGTGGCAGTAAGTTGTATTTTAAAAGGGTTTTATATATCCTCATGAGTGTTTTCTAAACTCTAGTTTAGGCCTTAGGCCTGTGTTGTGGTTAATGTTACTGCACAGTAGGGATACCAATAGCTTCAAGCATCTCATCTCTGGCTTAATCGCCAAGCATATTAACCAAACAAAGGAATTTATTCAGATGTGAAAACACAATGAGAAGACATTAAGGCTTATGTTTAATGCTCATTTTTAGACATGGGTAATGTTCAATCAATAGACAGTGTTATGTAATATGAAAAGAAGCAACTAATCCCTGCATAAACTGCATAAAAAAACTAGCGACTGGCCTTCAGCTTCTATCTTCTAAGAAAAATAGTTTTTCTGAGGCTACAGGCCAAACATGGCCAGTGTGACTTTTTTTTTTAATTTTTTTATCTGCCACAGTCATTTCTCTAAGGTGGCAGAAATACTGTCAACTGTAAAACCATGTGTTTAACTGTTATGGTCTTGGGACAGAACCTTCAAAATGATTCCTGATCACGATTCCCCAACCATTCACCAGTTATAATCTGTCTGTGCCAGATCACATCAGCTTTTGTTGTATTTTCTGTAACACCAAACACACTTATCAATGTTGCTGGTTAAAGAGTGATAAAGCAAGTGAAAGTAAAGTAGTATTACTGTCTATGGTGTGCAGCTTTCATTAACATGCCTACCTGAGGTAATAAGGAGGATAACAGACAAAAGGATTTGGTTGCTCAATGAAGAAAATGAGGTGGCCATTTTGTTCTGTTTGTTGCTACTGTGATTTGTGCAGCAGAGAAACTTGACTTATTCAACTTAAGCTCATCACTTGCCTGCCATCAGCATCCCATTGTAAATGTACAGAGAGCTTTCAGTGATCACAGCCACACAAGGACAGGATAAACTGCTATGCATATGTTTATCAAATATAACAATTGTTGTATTTGTGGATGTGTGAATGCAGCCAGTCAGTTTCTGTAATCTGACCCACTTTTTAGGTTAGTAGTATACACTATATGGCCAAAGGTTTGTAGATGCCTTTTCACATACTTTTGAGTATTCTTATTCTGGGGCTTTTTCCCATATAGTAATATATTTGACATTAGCGTGCTCACATCCTTGGGGTAATAGTTTTGTTTTAACTTGGTAATGCCCTGATGCAGAATGGAAGCTGCATATTTTTTTGTGTGATGTGGTACAAAGTAACTGCACCACAACTTCTTTAGGAGGAAATAGTATATTGACTCTGAGCCAGGTCTGGCTGGGAGCTCCCTGCTCCTTCAGCAGCAATAATATTTTGAATAATCACACATGGTAATATTATGATAGAGTGAAAAGTAAGAAGTGTTAAAGTAGGACAAAGTGGTCATCTTGCCATGTTTTGTGCGCGTGTGATGGATATTGTCATTACAGCATCTCAATGAAATTGATGTAAAGCTCCACACCCACAAGATGTTAAGGCATTCTGATTACATTTGTTGAATGGCGTATAAGCCATTAAATGTGTCAGTATTAAGCATGTCTCAGCACTGAGAACAGAAGTTTGCTCGAGTTATGATTAATAAGCTTTTGTTTTGAGCAAAATAAATCCCTAAATGGATCCACTCTTGGCTGACCAGGCAGCCTCACTGAGATGCAGTGACCTCCAAACATATGAACACTGACATATCTGTTTGTTGCCCTTGTTTCTTTGTAGTGAAATGTATAGTGAGTTCATTTGGTATAAGTTCATTACCTAATTACTGGCCTTCTGGAGCTTTAACTGCATCTCATGGCATTCTTTGGGGAATGGAGTGAAGAGGATGCCTTTTCTCTATAATTTCATATGTTACTGACAATTGTGAAACTTTGAACATCATAACTCCCATTTCTGTTCAAGGGTGGTCTTTGATGCCAGGTGGGAACCATCTTCTTAATTTTTCTCTGAATGTCCATTGACTATTGATTGATGGCTTTTGACCCCTTTCCAGTTGACCTCCTGACTGGTTTTGGTCTGGTGCTCACCTACAGCTGATGGTTTCTGTTTCCAGTGTCTAAGTCAGTCTTTTGTCCAGGGTCTTTGTTGTTTCATGTTGGGACTACAGTGTCAAGACTTGAGGATGACTGTAAAATGATGACTGAAATAATTATACACTTGCAACAATACAGTACATCGCCTGTTCTAGACTTATAAGTGTTTGACTTCCTTTGGTCCTCTTGTCTCTCCACAGTCTATCCAGACCTTTGTAACATCAGCCTGGCAGCAGTGGGAGACACAGAGAAGCACCAAGACCATATTGGATTCTGGGATGATGTCTATGGCTTCAACATGATGTGCATGAAGAAGGCTGTGGTGCCTGAGGCGTTGGTGGAAGTGGTGAAAGCAGACACCCTCATCTCTGATCCCACAGTCATACAGGTAAACACGCAAAGTCCAATGTTAGAACATTTTAATGAACAATATTGCAAATGTAGAGAGAGAATCAACAAGTCCTCCAACCTATACAACCCATATGGTCGTTTGTCCCTTCCCTCTCATATGACCCATGGGGAGTGTCACCTTAAATAGCGATCTTGTGGTAGTGGGAGCAATTGCAACAGCTCTGCCATCATTAATGTTGCACTACCAAGCTTTACGAACTTTTGCCATCATGGAAACGGCAATGAACACGGCAGCTAGATAGCAGGCTAGCTAGCAGCAAGCTAGCAGAGCTCTTGTTGCCTTTAAAACTATCATTACATTTTGCCACACAAAAATACTTGGTTATATTTAGACACAACATCTACTTGGTTAGGTTTAGGAAAAAAGATACTTGGCTCAGTTTAGGAACCAAAAAAAAAACCTTGTTATGTTTAGGGTCATAAACTCCTGAAAAATACAAGTCCACACACTGGAATTGATCCCTGCTTGCCTGAGGGAAGGTCCTCTGTTTTGTGTACCTAGCCATCTGTCTCCTCCTAACAAACTATTTTGGCTCTATATACTACGTTGCATTACTTATTCCTCTCCTGGTCTCATAATTACTACAGGCACTAGATGTCACCAGATCATAACATGTAGTAGTTAGTTGTAATAACCTGCTGGCAGAAACGTTGTATACAGTCTTGCAGACAGACACTCTGCAGAATGGGTTTTAATTTCAGCAGCTTAAGCCTTTATCTCAAAAACCTGAACCTCTCCCTTTAAAGGGTAATTTTGACTCTCCACAATGCACTTGGCTTTGCATAGCACTTGTTTCTCAAAGATTGCATACAGATGCCAGTGCATCAAACAAGTATCAAATGTTTCCATTACAGATTTTCTCCAAAAGAAACACAGTATAGATTCTTTAGGTTTTTGTTTGTTTGTCTGTCTGTAGCAAATTGGATCCTCAGTTTTGTCAGCTCTGTATGATTCTAACTGATGCTAACTTTCTGATACCTACAGTAACACCTGTAGGGGATGACTTAATTGCCAAACCAATATGTCGGTCAGATCCTGTGTGAGTTCTGCAGAAACATGCACACACTTGCCACAAACAGGAGACATAGAGTTGGCAAAACCCAAGCTGTTAGTGCACAGGCAGAGAATGAGAACCAGAGTTAGCTGTAGAGAGAGAGATAAAGCCCTGAAGGTGTGTGTATGTGTGTTTGTGGTGATGCTGTGGTGCTGGGTGATTGATCTGTCTAATCCTTGTTTAAGTTCCTCTTAAGGAAACTTCATTACTCTCAGCCCCTGTGGATAGAGCGGTTTTCACTGAGCTGATGGGAGAGCACACACATTACACAGAGATAAAACAAACACACACACAGTTTCACATCTAAGGACACAGATACCTCTTCTGAATCTTTCTGTGTAGGAATGCTCTTCTCTCCTGTCTCTCATACCGATGTGTTTTTCTTCACCGGTTGGCCTGTTTGCTAAGTAGTATGTCCTCCACCCATCTATGGATGTGATGAATGAGGGGAGGATTTGATATAATGGAATTTGAATCCTCTAATCAATAGTTTCTCCCCTCCAGTGACAAATGGACAGGGCCTCTGCCCAAATTACACAGACTCTCATCTGTTGCCTCATGTTGATACGATCCAATAACATTCCATTAAGGCTGGCTGCTACTCCGTAAAATTGAGAGTCCTTTCATTCAATTATGAATTCTTGCAAAAGCAGATGATGATTTTTTTTTTTCTACTAAGAAGAGATGGGAATGTTAAACTTTAAACCATGCCTTATATAATGTCTGTCATATCCCAAATTATAATAAACATTAAACACATGTAAACCTGCTAGTCATTATATAGTACATATAAATTGTGTCAAAGTGGTTGTGGTGCAGATGTCAATGGGCCTTTTTTCTTCTGTAAGCACAACTGTGGCTGTGTCCAGAATCACTCCCTGTTTTTACTATGTAGTGCACTGCATTTACTGTTCAGCGCTTTTTGTTTGAGAGTTTGAAATCTGAATGTATAATGTTATCCCCAAAAATTCCATGGCAGCCTAAGCGTGGACAAGATATAGGGACTGTGGTACTGTGAAAACTGAAAACCATCACTTCTAAGTTGTCAGTTGTGATAGAATTCAGTTGCTACAGTATGGTGCAATGTTTTAACATCTGCAAGGTTGAAATGTTGAATTCCCTACATGCTATAACAAATGAAATAATCTTATGTTTAGATTAAAGATCTAGTCTGTGCAACAGCTTGTGTTGAACACACCAGGCAAAGACAGAGGACCCAAATGTAGACACAGGCTGCCAGGTAGGAGTTGTCAGTCTATGGGCTTGCTTAACAGGGTATTCTCATCTTTATCTTGGGGAAAAAAAATATCAGTTTTAAAGATTTAGACTTTTGTTTGCAAGAACTCGTTATTTTCAACTTGCCACACTTCATTCCATTGATAACAGTAGTGTTTCAAATGGTTTATGTTGCATTCGATGCACTACATATCTATAGTCTCAGAATATTCATGAGAGATCTACTGTGGCACCCCTCTCTTGATGATGAAAATGATATAAGCCAGGACACCACATATCAATCCAAGTGTCATCAAAGGGTTTTTTTTGCAGTGTTCATTGCTAAGTAAAACTATTTAGTCTGCAGCCAATGGACCTACAGTACCTCTGGTGATGATGAATGGCTGTACCAAACTGTATCTCAATAAATGCAGTGTATGTCAAGATATTCATTAGATAAACAAAAACTTTGAAAAGAATCTACTGTTTATTCAGTAATTTTTAGTGGCCTTTAACTGAACATTCTGCCACGGGCAGCCATCTCCTGCTGGCACAGTTCTACAGAAGGTGCTACTCAACAGACATAGTTTCATCAGCCGTTAAATCAGATTTGTCACCAGACAAATATTCACATACATATTTTATTTATTCCCCAGTTTTGGAGTTACTCCTTTATTCTTTAGCCTTTTACCTTTGTGGACTGTGTGTACAGTATGTTTGCTAGATTAATTACTGTTATTAATTACCTCTTATGAGGACTTGATATCGATCTTTCTCTGGTGATACTGCATTAAGCATAGCGTAACAAACCTGATAGCAGTTCTGAATCCAATTTCCATGCTGATCAATTATTACAGTATTTTAGTTAAACTAATTGTTATGGAATCTCATTGCTTTCATATTTGTCACTGTCACTGAGTTTTTCCAATGCTGTTTTTACAGTTTTACATTTGGTTCCAGTAAATCTTTCAGAGGCAGTCCAGTCTTCCAACCTTCTTTGAAAATATGTTTTCGCTCACTGTGTAACTTTATCTATAAACACAGTGAGAGCAGAAGAATGCATTTTTGCAGTTTGTCATTTTTATGGTAAACAATAACTGGCTGGCCTTTAGGTAATGTGAATTTCTGTTTACTATACAGTAAAGTGACTTCTCAAACACACCATAATTGAGAAAGATTATCACATTAAGATGAGAATCATGTTTACTAAAGGAACCCATTTTTTAATGACCAAGTGCATCAACTGCCAGGATATAGAAAATAAAACCCAAGCTGTAATAAACCACTGTTTTCTTTAAGAGGGAAAAGACAGAGATATATCACTGTGGCGGTTTTGTAGCAGCCTGAAAGGAAGTACTACCATGTTTATCTGAGACATATAATTCAAAATGATAGCAGAAGCAACATACATTGTTCTACCTTTTTAAACTAGCACTGGACATTCTGCCCTCTGACTGAGTCAGTACCTGTAGGTCCAAATATTCAAACAGCTGTGGTGTCTGATTGCTTGTCAGATTCCTTCTCTACCAAACTGCATGTTTGTTCTCATGGTGTTTTTATTTACGTTGCTTGAGCATAGCCCATATTGTCAACAATATTTGGGGTTTGCCAAGATATGCAACACATCATGTTTGTTTTTGACTTTCAACAGACATTTGACTGCAACAGAGTGAGTGTGTGTGAGCTGGAGTTTGCGACAGATTTCTACTTGAAGATAAAAAACACTACAGACTGCACGGTAAGTAATGCACACACAGATATGTTGATAGCAGCTACTCAGACATCCGCAATGCTATTACTATGCTAATGTAATAGCATTGTAATAGCATAGAGTTTGTAAAGTAGATAAAGTTTGAGTTATAACCTCAAAATGAAACAATTTAGAATATTTTGTCTCATAGCATTAAATACCTCTGCAGTAATCAAGCACTAACCTTGTGAATCATTAAGAGGATGTCTGTCTTCTGGATATTTAATACATCTAAAGTGACTTTGAGTTACATGTCCTGCAACATAGTGATTCACAATACACCGGTCACAATGGAGCCTTAAATACTGTCTCACATTTCAACATATGTAAACTGAATAACTCTGTCAATTCATTAGACAAATAGATAGCCATGATAGTTTATTCAGCAGATTGTTTGGTAGTGTATGCTGGTAGTGAAGACAATTAAAAACAGGCACAAGATTGTTTCATTTTCCATAATGCTGGACAAACTTGCCTTTTTAATACAGCAGAGCCATTTTCAATGCAGACCTTCTCCTCAGGGCATCATCACTGACATCATAAAGTGAATGAAAAAATATAAACATGGTTAGTGTGTATATGATGATTAAAATGTATAACCTGATAATGTGTGGGTGGTGCTACAACTGGAATAGTTCTAGATTTAATTTTAAATGGATAAAATTGCCATTTTCACCCATCTATCTATACTCAATAACTCATAATGAGTAAATAAACATGTTTTATATAAAATTTTGCTGATTTATTAAGAAACAATTACTGAAATTAACCCAAAACACATTAAAGTGTGCAAAACATGAAGAGATTCATATACTTTTACAAAGCCAGTTAAGAGTAATAAGTACTCTAAATGACTTAATTTTGTTGTCAAATTAATCATTTGTGAGCACTAATGAACAGAACATAGTGTTAAAACAGTATTATAAGACATTCTATGACTCATCTGAACCTTTTGAGTTGTGGCGTGTAAGTCAGCTTGACCAATAACTGCAGCCCAAAACTGAAGTGTGTGACCTCAGGGTCAGCTACAGTCACCAAAGCATGGATAATGGTTTATGAGTCTATTTGACCCCCAGCCATCCATACTCACTTCTCCTGAACTTCCTCCAGTGTCTGAGCCACATTTCTCAGCATTGGCTTATCAACTAGAGAACAGCCTCACTATTGCAGGCTCAGACATTACACTGTGAGAAATGAACTGTTTGTAGAAAGGAAAAGAAAAAGTCTTGGAGCAGCTTTGTGTTGTGCTGTATGTTACTGCACTGTCTTGTGTATTGGTCTAATGGATAATCAATAGGAGGCTATTATCAGGCCTGTGGTCCTTGGGTAAGGCTGGTGGATTTAATGGGATTTGTAAACATCCTCTCATTTTTTCTGTCTTCTTTGTTCTGTAATTGAAAACATTCAGTTTCTATTTCTAGGTCTAAGTCCAGTCTGCCCCTTTTCCCTACTTTCGTCCTGCTCTTTCACACCTCTCATTATCAGTTGCAGTGATTGTATGCATGAGTGTGTTTTTTTTTTTCCTCATACACAGAATTTATCATTCTGTCATACCATCAGACTTGTTTTATTCCAGTGTTTCGGGCCTTTATTGTCCACATATTCTATTTAGAAGGTATCTCTTGTACACATAGATACAGTAGTCATCTCCAGCATCCAGCCTTGTCTCCGGATTTTCAGACGCATTATTGTCCTGCAGGAGTAGGGTGATCTTACCTTAAAGGTACTGATCTGTAGTCAGTATTGGCTGCAGCTCAGTGGTAGTTAAGGTTAGGATCTGTGAAGGGTAAACCGCTTTTGGACCAGTGCTCAGGGATCGGTGAGTGAGAGCTGCTTCGCCTCCCGTCCGGTGATGGAGCACCCGCTTTTGTTCTCTTGTCGTCAGTCCATTCATCAGCTCAGCCTGCCTAACCTTGCATTAAATGAACAGCACAAATCTGTGTCCATGCCGTTCATGCACAAAACAAATCCTCTTGTGATTTTTTCCATACATAGTCTCATAGCCACATTCTCCGCACCCTGTGTACATTGTGTCTGCCTTTGCAGATCATGTATGTGCTGAAACCTTCAGTAAAACCTGGACCAGAAGTTCTCAAGACATCTGTTCCTCTGCCTTTTTTACTTTAATTTACAAGACCTTAATTGTAGAGCAAAAAAGCCCCAATGCCTCCTAAAAACTGAAAATGATATATGATGGTGGCTTGGGAGAAGAGAAGAGAAGAAGCTTCTGTCTGTTGTAATTTGAATACCACTGTCCCAGTCCTGCTGACATACTGTAGCACTACAGAGAAAAATGTATCTGCAATCCATCTCTAACATGCTTTCCATCAAATTCAAATTGCACGGGGGGAAAATGGCCTTCTGAACTGACAGGTCAGCCACTTGTCAACTTCAGGGACAATTTTCATCACATTAAGAAAGGAATTGGTAATGGAAAAATTCACTCTTTAACTCCCAACAATGTATCAGTACGGAGCATTCAGGGTTGGGGTGTCAGCTGATTGTTAACAAGAATTGTTTTGGCAGACTCTTTCCAGTTGACCTATTAACAAATGTTCAACGTATTGATTTGTGTCATCATCTTAGAAGGTAAAGTGGAAGTGGTACCATTGAAACGTGCTAATAAAATGTATTATTAATGGCTTTGCTCTCTGATGAAATTGCCTAACAAACCACCAAGACCAGCCATTGTTGCTCAGCCTTAGTACATATGTACAGACCTAATACCGAAAGTGTCTTCTCTTTGCTTGGAGGAGGATAAGATTCAATAATGTTGTAAGGGTACACTAGATCAGAGAATGGTAACATTTTCTGGTTTAACTAATGCCTACTAGTGAGACTAGTGGAGCAAGATAAACATGGATGATAGCTGAACTACTGAACAGGACATAGCATTTGGATGAACCTGCCTATCAAGCAAATGGGGCCAGGCACAGCCACCTAGCCTAAGCAGATACACTGTGCTTGTGGGTGGAGCAGGATTTAAAAACAGCTCAAATGTGTGCTAGATCAGTTGGGTGAGAGCCAAACAATAGTATCTTGATCCCAGACTGTGATGGCAGAGATTTTGACCCAGGGCCCAGCAGCAGCGAACTGTTTAGTCTCTGTATGGGTGTATATGTAAAATATTACCATGAACAATGGTTACAAAAAATATAAATACGAGTTTGACAAAAACTGAAATTGCCCTCTAGGTTGTGTAGGCCTTAACACCTTATATGTTCATGTTTTTGTTGTGTTGTCCACCATCTCCCACCTTGAATTTACACACAGTCCAGTTTTTTCACTTCACTATATTTGTTTGCTTCTAAGCAAAGCTCAGTGACACAATTAGCCACAATTTTGCACAGCTTGAGTCTGGACCTTCTCCAGCTGTTGGTGGTATTGTTGATGAGAGGTGCGCTGCAGCCAAGGCTGATTCATGCTTCACCTTACTGGGGTGGCAGCAGTTGGACAGGGGGGCTGTGAGGAGACACAGGGGGAAATTGACACCCACCCACCATGAGGTGGTCATGCTTGAAGCATCCACGCCTTGATAAACCCCATCAAAAGCGCATTAGTCCTCTTTTCTTCATTCCCTCCCCCCCGACCCTCCCCTCAGTACCCATCCCGTTCCCTCCCCCTAAACTCTCCCTCCCTACACCCCCCCTCTTTGTCGTATAATAGTATCTGGCCAGGCCACGCGGCTCGCTGACACACAGCCGGGCAAAAGGGGAGCGATGATGAATTGCTCCCTGCTGGTGTTATCCATGATGATAATTATTAATTTTCCCCCCGTTCTGCCTAGAGAATGGGAGCTGGAGAGCTGCAGCGTTGCGGTGCCTCCTCTGTTGGCCAACAAGAAGCCCTCTGTCATCACTTACCACAGACAGAGCTGGGGCCTAAGGCTAAATGCTGATGAAAATGAAAAGCACTCATTCTGATTTGTCCTGTTTTTGGTGTGTGGATGTGTGTATGCATCTCTCTGCTTTATGTTTCCCTTTCTTTTCCTCCCCCTTCTCTCTCTCTGTCTCTCTTGCTTCCTTAACCTTCTGTCCGTCCTTTGGCCATGTACTGGGACACTGAGGCTTTAATCTGTCAGGGATCACAAAAGTTCAACATCAGGTGCAACATCACAGCAGGTTGTTAACTTTATCATAAATTAATTGATACATATATGTTGAACACAAGTCTGTGAGAGTAGAACATTTTTAATGTAAAGTTTTTGATTATTCTAAATTTAAGCACAAGATGACAAGAGACACCATTAAACAATATTTTAAAATTAAAATGAAATCAAAAGACCAGTCTAATGCGGTTGCCATGGCATGTAAATGAGAAAATGATCATCTCTGCATCTCTTTAGAGATTTTTTTAAAATTCTGTTTTAGCTCATTGTTTTGGTTATAAAGCACGTTTACCATTTTGTTCATTCTCAGCACTCCAAATTAACTCCTTTGTCTTCTGTGAGCCCTGATGTACTGTACACTACCTGCTAGACATCAAACTGTTTAAAAAGTTACCAACTAACTGATGAAGGAAGTGGATGATGTAGCAGCTTGAGAGTCAGATACAGTATGTTTGTTTTTCTGCTCCCGAGCGGCCAAAGAACAAGTAGTGGTGCCTTATGGATCTTTACCATCTGTCCTTCCTGTAATTATCTCTTTTCACCAATCAGTGTTTGAGAGATGGAGCCAACAGCCATTAAGCAACATTCTGCAACAATCTACAGCAGTACATACTTTTAAAAAGGTGTTTTAATTATTTCCAAGTGAACATAAACAGGAACTTCTTTTACTGTTGAGTAACAGCTTTCATTCTCCATCTGGAGTTAACCTGAATCCTGCTGTACTGTTTTATTGGGTGCCATTAAAGCTATCATTAAGTCCTTTTAAAGTGCCTAAGAAGTTTAATGAATTCTTGTCCCCCAGCCCAGGTTACATCAAATAGTCTCTGATGTGAATGTGAAAGGCCTGGTACAGTCTGTATCAGATGAGCCATCAGGGTCTTTAGTGTTTATCTGAACCTTTTTACATATTTTGGGTTTTGTGTATAAGGCCATTATATTCTCTCTTTTCCCTTTTTAACTGTGTGATGTTAATGAGGCAGTGAGATGCCGAGCTTCTCTACTGGTCTTGTCAAGTTCCACTCTGTAGCTTCAATTTTTAATTGCTCATCTCACTGCGGTGTGAAAGTTGCACAACGCAGAAGTAACAATCAATCACGCTTACAAGGCATTGTCATCATCGAGACGCAATGAGGATGATCTCTGCCTCTCCGGCTGAGTGGGGTGAATCCGCCCTGCCTGATGAGTAATTATGGCTAATTTCCTAATTACCTCAGCACCACGCGTCTCTAGCATTCATTAAATGCCATAATTGCATTGGGTTGACATGCTCTTTTATCCACTTTGGGTTATTTTCTGGGGGTTTGGTTGTGAGCTAGCAGTGCTGCCCCTGCCTGTCTGAGTCGATAAAGGTTGATTGAAGTGTCTGTGTGAGAAGTGTGTTCAACACGGCTTCTGACATTCCGATCACATCTTGGTGTTCCCCTACCCAGCCTATAGACGATTCCTCTAACAAGCTCCACCAGTAAGTTAAAATGTGGAATAAAGAAAGGGAACAAGTACTTCAGGACTGCATTGAGAGCACTAACTGGGATGTATTTAAAACTGCTGCTATGAGAGAGGATTGCACTGTTGACTTGGAGGAATATGATTCAGTGATATTAGGCAAGAGAGGAGAAAGAAAAGGCCTGCTGGCATAATCTGGTTGAAATTCATAACGTTGCATTATTGTGAGCACTTGAAGATCCAGTCATTAGTAAAGTGTATGTCCTGCATAATGCTGGAAAAGTGGAAAAGGAAAAGTGTTTACATGGCCTTCGAAACAAGCTAAAACCTAACTGTGCATGTGCATGCATGCATGTCATAGGTGCACTCTGGTACTTCATCAAATAGCACTACACCTCTGGAGCTGGCTGCTGTGTTCCACATACCTTAGACCTTCTGCAGTTTACAGTATCTTCAGAATTTGTTCACTGATGAGGCTGTCAGTACTGCCATCCACAGCACTCACGCTCTTGGAAGGCAGGGTTACATATGTTAGATTTCTTTTTATCGACTACGGCTCTGCATTTAATACTGTTATTCTATTCAGAGGTGTTGAAAAGCTCATCACTTTTGAATTGATACCCTCCCTTGGCAGTTGGGTGCATTTTGCTTTTCCAGGTGTTAAAAACCAATAAAACCCTGAAAAAGGAAACTGCCTTCCCAGGTTTTACAGTATGTTACAGCCACTTTCCCTCTCCTGCTCCTTCCCTCTCTTACAGATTTCTCTGTGGCTTCTTTCTGTCTGCTTTTTTGTCTTTACCTCTCTTTTTCCTCCTGTCTTTTCTTCTGCTCCTCTGTTTTTTTTCTTCCCCTTCTCTTGCATTGATTTGGCGTTGCTTTGTCTCAGAGAGCTGGCCTCCAAGTTGTCAACTGCGTCAGGATTAAAAGCTATTAGTTCTGCATCATTGACACTACAAGTGCACTCCTGAGATTGATAAGAGTGCCTCTCATCCTCCAGTGGGGGGAGAAATGAGAAGAAAACAAACTAGGGTGGGGGGTGGTTTTACCTCACATATCTGACAACAATCACCTACAGACCCTGCACTTTCCATCAGTTTATCTTAGATGTGCGAACTGGTTTTCACATAAATGTGCTCTGTCCGATGGCATTACTGTGCAGGTTTTTGGTAGAGTGAGGATCCAGTCTGAAGGAGGAGGAGTCCTTTCTGGTGACATGTAAGACCTAAAAAAAAAGCCCTAGGCTTCAGACTGGATTCCCTGAGAAACAAGGCATTGTCATTTGTCTAATTTCCTTTCCTGTGCATTGGTGAGATGAACGTATTCATATTCACTTGGTACAAAATCGCATTAGTGTTTGTTTTCCTTAAGCGATTCGTCCTCTCTGCTCAGTATTTTCACTTTGCTGCAGCACCCTCCCCAAAATAGCCACCTTTGCTAAATTCATGTACAAAGTGGATGTTTTCTTAATATCAGCAAAATTGCCTCAGTGTCGTTGGTGGCCACCTCATAATTTATTTCTTTTGTCCGGTGACATGTCTCCCAGATGAGGTGAGAGGGAACCCGTGTGATGTGTTTTTGATTAGCCTAAAAGAGAAACCACATTGGTTTTGAGAGGAAGAAGGGGAACAAATAGAGTGCAGTTTTCATGAATGATGCTGATACCTACTGTATCTGTAACAGGATGACCAATAGAGTTCTCCAGACCACACATATACACACATACTAATGTGTTATGAATGGAAAGGGGGGAAGAAAATCAGTTTTTATGTCTCCTTTAAAGAGAAAATACTATAAAGATAACTTTAAATATTTGTACACTAAATGTTGTTCCTCTTAGGTTTTACAGCCTTATTCCTAAACACATCAGCTTATTTAGCATATTTTGCTCATTCAAGCCCTGAGACTTCCTCTCTTAGCCCTGCTTGTCAGCGTTACAGTGTAGACAAACAAATCCAGAGGTTTATTGTACTGTCACATTCTAACATGCCCCTCATATTTCATTGCAGGCAATTGTCGGCTACTTTGACATATTCTTTGACAAAGATTCCAGCAACAAGGTAAGCAGCAGTGGCAACAGCCAAGCCATTTAACAGAAACTCAATTATGTTCACGCTTTAGCGTGTTCCTCCTCCCTGCGGTGTTCACTGGCAATCGACGGACGTCCTAGCTGACTGCTGATATAAGCACTTACCCAACAGAGCCGGCCAGTTGGAACAGCGGATGCCAAGCTCTGTGAGCAACACAGACATGCCTTTTGATTGCACTTCCTATTACACATGAAACTGAATTCTATGGATGGTCCAGTAAATTACCATCTCTGCTGGAAGCTATGGCAGGCTTAGTGTAACCTGGGATTATTTGTTGTGTTTGCTTCATAAATACAGTAAAAATATGGTTAATTTATAATTAATTAATTAATTAATTGTGCAGCTTAACTGTAATTTAAACAAGACTTTGTTTTTTATGTTGGCTGAAGTCCTTCCAGGTTTATTACTCTTAGATTTTAAATTGCTTGCCGTTTTCCATCAATGTTGCACAGCTGGACGGAAACTAACATTACCCCAGATACTATGTTCCCGACTGCTCTGGTTGCCTTGGCTGCCCTTGCTGTTGATGATGGTTGAAATGTTTTTCAAGTAATGCAGGCAGATGTGCTGTGTTAAATGGACCCACAGTGGCATGGTGATGGAGGACCCCTTGATTACTGATAGTGTGCTTGACCGCCAGCACCTCCACCTTCTGCTTGGCTAGGATTCATTGTTCCAGAGCACGTAAACACGCCAGTGACCCAATTTATAGGATCCTGCAGTTCTGACTGGGGTGTCACAAATTTGGTGGCTTAGTGTTTACACCTGGGAAAATGTGTTCTCAAAGACTTCCTAGGGGGCTGGCTGGGTTTTTTTTGTGCTGATGCAGGTATTTGCTGAATTAGCAAGAAATGCAATGAATGATTAATTTGACCACTTTTGCAAAACATGTTTACATGTTAAAAAATGTGTGAATGGTGTTATAGAGGAAAAGTGTGTATCTTTTGAAAACTGAAGTAAGCGTATGGATTTTTGTACTGAGGGAATGGATTATAATGTGTTTGCAATCAGGAAAAATCAGTATGCACAGATTTATATTCCTGTGGCATCCAAATTAAACATCCAGATTTTTAGTTGTAGCACAATGCTACAAGAGAACAAAGTGCTCCTTTCTCTACTGAGAGAACAGTACAGGTTTATGATATGTCCCCCTCCCACCCCAAATGTTATCTCAACAGGTGACCTTCTCCACGGGGCCTCAGGTCACAAGGACACACTGGAAACAGACTGTCTTCCTACTGGAGAGGCCTGTATCTGTCCAAGCAGGTCAGTAATCACACAGACCACCACATGGTTAGGAAACACTTGGGAATACTGTAGATTTGCATTTGCATGTAGTACTGTCAACTCTCCTGTACAAATTCCCAATCCAGAAACAATTTACATGTATGCTTCAGTTTTGTGCTTCATTTAGGTTTGAGTTACCATGATTACATTTTTCTTCTGTGGGCCCTGGTGCTGCATCATCATGAGCTGTGGCAGGTAATCTGTTTGTGGTGGAGATGTAGTCAGGCTGGTTGAAACCCGTTATCTGTTGCCCACAGAGACAGCGAGGGATCAAAACAAATCACATCCAGCCATCAGAGACAGCATGTAAAACTTCATCTGTTAGCCAGTCACAGGGCTTTGCATCATGATACATAACAAAAGAAACATGTTGTAACTGACCAGAGGAATATTTATAGACTCACTATCAGCAGATTAAAGTATTTATTAACTGGTGCAGCTTGCTGTGAGGTGTAGCTGTACAGCATGGATGTTCTCAGACAGTGTTCTAGTACTGGAGCCCAGGACTCGGACTTGAGTCCAGATTTACAGGACTCGTGACTTGGATTTGAGCACTGATGACTTGGACTCGAGCATTGACTGCATTTGGTCTCAGTGGAGACGAGCACTGACTTTTTTTGTTAATAGGCCATAATAATTGGGCATAAGATATTGATATTAAAACCTGTTCACCCACACCGTGCTGTACCTGACACAATTCCATTGAAACGTACACTATGTCTTTTTATAAATGATGAGCAATATGATGATGCAATACACCGTTAGAAAGTTTGATGAGAGCTTTGTCAATTATGTTTAATATAGACCTTGATGACTCTGACTCGGGTAACAGGGACTCAAGTCAGACTCAACTTGAATTATTCTTAGGTGACTCGGACTTAACTTGGACTGGAACACTGGGCGCCTGAGAATCGACTCGAGCTCGAGGTTTAGTGACTCGACTACAGCACAGGTTCAGACTCCAATGAACCTAACATCTTGCATTGTTGTTCACCATATCGTTTTTTGTCTGTAGTGAAAATGTCATCAACCAACTTTAACTATACAAATACATATTTTTACTGTAGTGATTCAGTCTGGTAGTGTTAGCTGTTTTTACACTTTAACCACATCCACCCCATGCAAATGGATATAATCAATCATTATAATCCATTTATTAATAAAAAAAATTAAACAGATTTCCATTTTGGAGAGTCTCTCAAAATGAAACCACAGAATTAGAAGCCATTTATTGAGTTATCAACCTCACAAACACGTATGCTCTAAAACTGTGACTGTGACTTGTTTTTTGTTGCTTATAAGGATGCAGAGTCCCCACAATTCCAATTCAACTAATTATTAGCAATAAAAAGCACCCTTGTTCAGTTTAATGCAATTACACCAATACACTGTGACCACTAGCTTATGTTGGCTCATGTTAGCAACATATAGTACATGTAACAAACAGTACTGAGTCCTCTCTGCTTGTGCTACTGTTACTCTGTTTTAGCATTTGCCATTTACCACTGGCTCACTGTTTAGTATGATGTTCTAATGGGAGGTCCAACAAACTAAAGTGAAAAGACAAAAGGAGGCAAAATAAAAAGTCACCTCAGCATCTTAATCTGCCTCTTTATCTTAGGAGATTTCAGCTACTTCATGTAGGCCAGAGCATTTATAAATGACAGATATCTGTTGTTATTGGTACTGCTGTTATGTTTTGATGATAGCAAAAGTGTATATTCATTACTTTTAGGTGTTCCCTTCATACTCGGTTGTATGTAGTGAGAATAATCTTGTGTTTATTACACAGGTTCTAGCCTTGTGTTTCTGTTATCATAATGAGAATCGCAGATGTGTCTGCTGATGTTAGGATGGATGAGCCTCTGTACAAACTGTCCGCTCACTGAGCAGATATCAGATGGAGTCTACTGTAATAAATGACCTACAGAGGGACGGAGGCGCTTGATGTCCGGCGGCCCATAGTCATACTCGGTCCCTGTTGGCAAGACCCAATATGATAAGAATGTCAAAACCTCTGATGGTGCTCAAATGCTATCGCAGGCTTTGCGCTCTGCTGAGTCAGATAAAATCTGAGAGCTGAGGACGACAGTATGCTAACACCGTGTACAAATGGGAAACTGCACAGCGACAGATTTCATTTGCTCTGGTGCGGAATGTCAGCATCTGCTCTGCTCCTCGTTTCACTTTTGCTTACACCTGTGTGTGTCTGTGTATATGTGTGCACACATGCATACATATAGATAGATGACTGAACCAGAAAAATGAGCAGAGAAGCACGATGGATGCAGATGTTTCATTCCAGGGCACGAGGACACCCTGATGTTTCGACGACGATGATGATGTGACTCATATGCAGTGGCCATCTCAGGTGTCAGAGCAGTTGAGCCCCTGCAGGTATGGACATTTTTGAGTGAGCTTGGGTGAGGGATGTGTTAGGCAGTGCTTGTTCTACCACCATCGCCATAGCACCAAAGAAGCTAACTTTTAGAAGAATCAGTAGTTTTCAGAGACTTTTTGACCATGAGGAATCTTAAAGCTGTGCTATGTAGCAGCTGTCCTATAAACAGCTTATTAAGACGCTTTGATTTGCCACCAGTGCACTCTCTACATGTGCACACACTACAGTAATAAACTGGAATCTCCAGTTTGCTCCCTTTAAATTTTAATACATGGTGGCAGTTTTGTGTAAATATGAAAATGCACCGTTATACTGGGTTTTTCTCTTGTACCAACATCATAGCTTAACATAAGTACTAAAATGTAATGTCGCCATGCAAATTTCTGAACACGGAAGTGTTCCCATGAAGATGAGCCCTTTCTATTTTGAACTCTTTTACTTAATGCAACACACAAAACC